ACAGCTCCCTGGCCAGCTGCCCAGCCTGGTGCCCCTGGGCATCCTGTGGCCCTGCCGGGAGGCCCTCTTTCGTGGCTGCCTTTGGGCTGTGCTTTTCCAGTCCTAACCAGCACTGAGGTGGGAACACGGGCTCTTCGTCGTCGTCTGTCTAGAGTCCTAAGTTGTTCTTAATTCTCAACAGGGCAAAACAAGGCGCGGTATATTAGTGGTCATGTTCAGTGTTGGAATCTATGCTGCAGAAACAAAGAACCGGGAGGGCAGTCCACGCTCCCACTCCACAAGTCGGGCGCACTCATCTGCCGACCTGGTCCCCTGCTCTAGGCAGCCTCTCCCGATTCTTCCCACCGTTTGTCTCATTCTTACCATTGTGGAAAGTTGCTCGCTCTGGCTTGGCTCACCAGAGTTGGACCCTGCAGGACCACTTAACAGTGCTGCTTTCTCCACCCGTCTACATGCACTTTCCAGCAATTGCTCGTGACAGGGCTCTGCGTTATTATAGCTCTGTTACCGTCACCACTGCTGAGCCAAGTACTAAACTCTTCAGAAGTGCTCTTTGTTTTTCCTGGAGTTAGTATTTGCCTTGCTTTCCCTCTGCAGTTTCCTCTGCGCCTATGGCGCCTACTGGCCTCTTCCAGGATTCTCACCCAGCTTTTAATCTGGGCAAACACAGCCTCTGTCGAGTGGGCTCCGTGTTTTCCTGAAGCCCTCTGTCCTCCTCATCCCCATTGGACAGGTCGCTAGGACCCAGTTCCAGGCAGGAGACAGTCTCTGTTATGTTCCTGTCATGAGCTAGACGACCTGCTCAACTTCACTCCCGCTGCTGTGGAAGCTGGTCCAGTGTCCCTTTCAGAAAGGGCCTGTGGCCTCAACTCCCCGTGTAAGGGGCTGCGGGGGCTCCAGTCCTCACACCCCCGCGGCTGGTGCCCTGTCCTAGCATCTAGCCGTGCAGTCTTCATCTTTATGCATTTTCATGGAAAAGGATGGGTACTGTTCCTCTCTGCAGCTTGGGGTCTGGCTGAACTAGTCCACTGCCTGTGTCCTGTGTCCACGCAGTGCCTGATGTGGACTCATGGCCGCCTCAGGCTGGGGTCTGCCATGCCCGGCAGCTGAGCAGGGTGATGGACGAGTCACGTGTCCTTCCCATGACATTTTCCAAATAAGTTGTGCGTTTTCTAACAATCCCAAACGTAAAGAAAAGTTGCAAGAATAGTCCCCAAACTCCCCCATGGCTGGCAAGTGCTCTTGCGCCCCACACCTCAGACACCTGACCACCTGCTGCCTCCAGGCTTCACGCTGAGCTGGCAGCGGCCTCCGGCCCGGCCGGGGCCACGTTGCGGCAGGTGTTGCGTCTCTTTTGCCTCCTTTGGTCCAGAACTTTCTTTGACCTTGACCCTGCCACTTTTACGTTCTAGGCCCTTCCTTCTGGACGAAGTCCTGCCCCGGGGGTATCACAGTCAGATGCAGCTCCCGGCAGGCGATGCTCAGAGTGCCCCACGGGCCGCTGGCAGGTTCGGCGGGGTGCCAGCTGGTGCCCCCCGAGCTTACTCTTCTTCCCTTTGTGGTCAAGGGGACCTCGCCGGGGAGTTGAAACTGGAGGAGCCTGTCTCGTCACCCTGTCAGTAAACACCTGCCGGCGCCCGGGGTGCACGTGGGGGCGTCGGGAGCCCAGCGCCTTGGAGGTGCCCTCACCGCCCACACCGAGAGGGCGCCCACTGTGCGTCCTCCCCCCGCTCCCAGCCAGTCCCTCACCCACAGCACCCTGCCCCATCGGGCGGGTGGACTCGCCCGCGGGGCCGCGTGCTGGCCGGCTTCACGCTCGAGGCCTCCCAGCCGCAGAGCGCTGGACGCGCGTGGAGCCCGTGGCTCCTGGGCCTTGCCCTCGCCTGCAGCCCCGCAGACACGACGGGGCCCCCTACTTGCTGCGCCTCCCGTGTCCTTCCAGGAGCCCCGCGGGCCGACCCCCGCGGGCCAGCTTCCTCCAGGCCGCCGCGCAGGGCTCGGGGCTGGCAGCGGCCTAGGGCATGCCGCGTCCTGCCCGGCCCCTCCCTCCGCCGCCGGGGCTTCCCCGGCCTCCCAGCCACCTATCTGCATCCGACCTTTGTCTCGGGGCTGCCTGGGAGCAGCCTCCCTGGGAAAAGCCTCTCCTCCGTGTTTATGAAGCTCGGGTTATCTGGGTGGTTGTTGTTCGGCTGCAAAGGCCGAGCTCGGGGTCTCGGCGTCAGCGGCGGGCGCCGGCTGCCCGGCTTTGCCCTGGGCTCCAGGGCTGGGGCGCAGGGGCCTGTGGGCCGGGAGGACAGATGGTCCGGGGTCTCTGGCCCCGCACGATGACCTGGTCCGCCCCAGGCAGGCACCTCGCGCCTCTGGCCCCAAGGCCAGCCCCAGCCTTTCCGCCTGGGCGTCCGGCTCCTCTGCCAGGCTGCCAGGGCAGCGGGGAGCTCGCCTTCCCCTGGGTCCCTGGCTCTGTGCCCACTCATCCATGGAGCAAATGCACCCATGTGCCTGGCAAGGGCCAGTCGACTGCCAGTTCAGGGCAGGGCCCTCCTCGCGCCCCCCCCCCCCCCCCGGTGGCTGAGCCTGTGGCCGGCCCCCACTCCAGGTGGTGCCCACCCCTGGCAGGGGGCCGTGGGTGGAGGAGGCCAGAGTAGCTGCCAGGAGGGATGGAGGGGGCAAGGCAGGCAGGTGTGATCCTGCCCGGCCTGGGCTGGGGAGATGAGCCCCGCCAGCGTCCTGGCCCAAGCGGGCTTGCTGCTCCAGGGACACCCACATCTTGGGGGCAGGAGGCCTCCAAGTCAGTGAGCTGGAGAAGTCCGAAGCGAATTCAGCCCCTGGCATCCCAGCCCGGGCTCTGCCGGCTGCCCGGGAAGTGCTGAGCACGCCCACCTCTCCTTTGCAGGCCCTTTCTGCAGCCTCACCAAGTGGAGGTGGGCAGGGAAGCTGGGCGCTGTCCACCCGGAGGCGAGGGCCAGCGGAGGAGGCACCTGTGCTGGGCCGGACACCTCGGGGCCCGCGCTGGGGGCGCCAGCACCTCTCTCCTGGGCCTTCCGGGGCTCGAATCGGCAAGCACCCACCATCTCAGATGCAACTTGTGGTCCAAAAGCCAAGAGAGTGACCCTCAGGGAAGCAAGTAAGCCTGACTTGTAAACACCCCTTCTCTTTTCTCCAGTTTGTCTGCAGTAGAGCTCTTGGGGGACAGCTGGAACAGACTGGGGGTCATTCCCTGGGACACGGGGGAGGAGAATTCTGAGCCTCGGAGGGCGGAGGCGCCCCACTCTCCGGTCCCACCGGCCCCCGTGGGTCACTGCCCCGACCAGCGGGGCCGGCCGCTGCTGGGTGGGGGGCCGTGGCTGCCTCGCAGGGGGTGTCGGGGTGTTGCAAGCCCGACACAGGGGCACCTGTTCTTCGCCTGCCCCGAGGTCCTGTTCCACGGATCCCCTGCCCGGGGGGTGGGGGAAGCCAGGGCGTGC